CGTTTGTCTGTATAGTCTGATTCAACAATTCCTTTATGCTCTTATGGTCGGTCCTGATCACAAAAATAGAACCCAACAAGTATTGCCTCCAACGTTTCACAGCAGCCGTGATTGCATATAGTTCACGCACATATGTAGAAGAATTAGCCATCTTCACTCCCAGCTTTTTACTGAAGAAGGCTATAGGTCTGTCTTGTTGCAAGAGTACAGCCCCAACTCCACTATTCGAAGCGTCAGTTTCTATGGCAAATGGGAGAGAAAAATTCGGTAAAATCAATACTGGAGTTTTACTCATGGTCTCCTTCAATTGCTGAAATGCTAAAGCTGCTGCCTCTGTCCACAAAAATTCATCTGAGGCTTTTAACAAATCTGTTAAGGGAGCAGCGAGCATGGCATAATTCTTTACGAAACGACGGTAATACCCAGTAAGACCCAAGAATCCCCTCAATTGCTTCAAATTACCAGGCAAGGGCCAATCCGACATGGCCTGAATCTTCTTCGGATCAGCATGTACACCTTGATTGGAAACAACATGACCCAAATATTCAATGGACACAGCACCAAATGAACACTTAGACAGCTTCACAAAAAATTTGTGTAGTTGTAAACAATTTAGGGCAGTCGCTAAATGCTTCACATGATCATCCATAGATCCACTGAAGACTAATATATCATAAAAAAAAACAATTATAAATCTGCGCAAGTAAGGTTTGAACAACTGATTCATCACTACCTGGAACGTAGCTGGAGCATTGGTCAGACCGAATGGCATGACTAGGAACTCATAGTGGCCCTCATGAGTCCGAAAAGCTGTCTTCATTACATCCTGAGGCAGCACCCTAATTTGATGGTACCCAGCCCTCAAGTCCAATTTACTGAAAACCTTTGCTCCTCCTAGCTCATCCAAGAGCTCATCAATGGTAGGAATTGGAAACCTATCCTTCACAGTGATGGCATTCAATGCTCTATAATCAATACACATTCTCCAGGTTTCATCTTTCTTGCGCACTAAGAGAATAGGAGATGAAAAAGGACTTTGAGAGTGTTGTATGAACCCAGCTGAAAGTAATTCATTCACCTGTCTCTCGATTTCTGTTTTCTGGTGGTGGCTATAGCGGTATGGCTTTACATTAACTGCGCTTGAACCTTCCTCTAGATGAATGGTATGATCCCTTCCACGAAAAGGTGGTAGTTCTTGTGGAATGTGGAATACAGTTTGGTACTGCCACAGAACATGCCACAATTTCCCAGGTATCATATCCTTGATAGCTAGTAATTCATTATCGGAATCTACAAGGCTGCTCTCTGCTTGTTGCAATAATGCAAGGCAACTCAGCTCTCTCCCATTGTTATGGACCACCACCTGTGCTGTTGCATAACCCTTCGTGTCTCCTTCCAATACAATTTGTCTCCCTTGCCAATTAAATTCCATGGAAGACTTAACATAGTCATGAGTGACTTTGCCAAGTGTCTCCAGCCACGGCATTTCCAACACAATGCTAAGATCACATAACTCTAGTACCCAGAAATCAATGACGAATTCATGACCTTGCAAATTAATCAGAACCTTGAGACATTTTTTATCAGTAGACAAAAATTCTCCATTTCCCAAGAAGACTCGTATCTTTTTGGAACGGGTCATGGGCAATTTCAAATCACATGCTACTTGTCTATTTAGGAAATTATGAGTGCTCCCAGAATCAATCAACACAGGAAACTCACAATTCTGAATTGTTGTGGTAAAAACCAAGGATCGTGTGCCAGAGTGGTCAGCCAAAGCATGTAGTGCACCCTCTGGAGGATTCTTAGTGGTGTTGGTCGAATGCCACACAATTTCCTCCTCCTCTTCCAATCCATCTTGAACTTCATCCACATCCCCCACCATCAGAAGCAACTTATTCTTACATCTGTGCTTAGCATGCCATTTCTCCTCACAATAATAACAAAGTCTCAATTCACGCCTTTTATGCAAATCTGCATGGGAAAACTTCTTCATATTTGTAGGAGCAGGTAAAGCCAATACTGGACTAGATGCATTGAACTGAGGCACCGTGGGTTTAGGAAGGGTTATTTGAGGTACTGAAGACGTGCTCAGAGAGGCATTCCCTACTTCCTGAGAAGGAAAAGACTTCGAACCAAATTTCCTACCACCATTAGAGAATGAAGCGCGAAGCTCTGTATGATGATCATCATAAGCCAATGCTTGTTGCATCGCCTGATGCAACGTTAATGGTGACCTGAGTTGCACTGCGCTTCGTAACTCAGGTTGGAGACCGGACACAAAAAAACTCAAATACAAATCATCATCAAGCCCTGGTACCTGATTGAGCAATATCTCAAATTGCTGTATGTATTCACGCAGTGTACCCAATTGAGTCAATTTAGAGAGTACTCCCTTCAAATTTGTATAAGCAGAGGCTCCAAACCTTTCACGCAATAACCTCGTCAATGCATTCCAAGAACTGATCAAACCGTTGTTATACATCCACTGGTACCATCCAGCTGCCATGCCTTCCATACGTAACCCCGCCATAGGAACTTTGAACTCCTCGGGAATTTGCTGAAGAACAAAAAACAATTCTGTTCGAAAAATCCAGTTGTTAGGGTCTACACCACTAAACACCGGAATCTCTAAGCGAATCGCCTTGGAAATGTTTCGTGCATCCAATTGTGGTGGAATCGGTGGAGTGCGAAAAAGAGGATCTCGATTGCGTGCATCCATGGCCAGAACGGTGGTATTGAGTTGCTGTAATTGAGAAACCATGAGCGCTATCTGATTCTGATAATCATCCAAACGCGTTTCCACACGGGAAAGTTGTGATTGATTGTCATCCAAGCGCGTATCAACACGTTGTTGGAACGAATTGAATTCCTCGGCAAGATCCTGGACACGCATTTCGTCGAACAGGTTGGGTTCAGATGAAAGCACCAGTTGTTAGGATATGACCTAACAAGAAGAAGACAGAGAGCTTTAAGAAAGAAAGGAACGAAGTGTATATTTCTGATACCCATTCTCAAGTTACAAAGAACTATATATGTTCCTACTGAGTTTCCAATCCCTCCACGTATTACAGTTACTAAGCAAAAATTACACAAGTGTCCCACTATCTATACAGCTGTCCCACTAACACTTCAACATGTTATTCTTATTACACGTGTCCCATACACATCGTAAGCTAAACTACATAACCCTTCAATCTAACTGAAGGGTGTCTTTCCCTGGTTGAGTTTCGTCTTGTAACATCTTTTAAGTTCTCGCGTCGTGTAATTTTTGTTTTGTTTGGGGCTTTTGTCCCTCTTTATTACAAAAAAAAAAAAGTGCCAAATACAAAATCAGTTAGTTTAGTATTTTATTTTTTATTTTATTTTCATTAGTAATTAATTTTTTTTTTAAATAATGGCTTCTTTTTTTTTTTGGGTAACATAATGGCTTTTTTACTACTGTGCACTATTCGCCCACTGAACTTTTACGCTTACAATTTCTGGATTCAGCAACATCTTCAATAGTTTTATGGTGAATTTGGTATTTTCATATTTTATATTATATGTATTTGACATTTTTTTAAAATTTTTTATTGTTTTAAATTTTTTATTGATAATAAATTTTATCAAAAATTAATAACGTCAAGAAAAAGAAAAAAGAAAATCAAATGTACATTTTATTGGTAATAAAATTTCAAAATCAGATACACTCCTTAAATATTTTAAGAAACCAACATTTTTGTTCCGATCTAGAAAAATTAAGTAATTATTAATTGTATTTAAAAGTCATAGAGAGAAAAAAGAAAATCTGTCATGTAAATTTCTATAAAACATGATTATGAGAGAGAGAAAATGAGATTAGGTGCTATAAAATAAAGGAGAAGTGAAGAGAGAAATTAAGATAAGGTAATAAATATTGATATAAAGTAATAAATTTTCTTTAAATTTTCTCTTTCCTAAACTCGCTAAAACATGCAACGAATTTCTTATAAAAAAAATGCCACGTGGACTGATACATTGACTAACCAAAATTGCTATATTTTATAGCAAGTTATATGATTTCAAACTGATTGTCATGTGTTCAAATCTAACTCGTTAAGTGTTATAGTAAATTAGATGATGCGACATTTTAAAAAATTCTTACTAGAGCGTGGCAATTTCATAAATTTTTGCTAATAAGGTGGCAGAAGGGGGCTTGATCCACAATAAACATAGAATATGTTTAATTATGCTTGTTATTAAATTATTTTGTAGAATTGTTTTATAAAATATTCAAAAAACTTGTTAGATGAATTTAATATTCAAACTAATTTTTGAAAGCTTGATATTCTGCGGTGATCCAGCTCGCCGGCTCTAATGACATTGGTGGCGGTTTGAATTAATAATAAAAAATAAGTAAAATGATTTTTTATTCAAAAAATAAATATTAAAAACAAAATTTTAAAACAATCAAATAAAAAACAAACTACCAAAATGAATATTATATTGTATTTTAATTCTTGAGAAAAACCTTTTCAAAAATAGGAAACTAAAGTAACATATCTCTTACTATTAACTATCTAGATTATATATTTACCAAAAAAAAAAACTATCAAGATTATAGCAAGAATGATTTAAAAATAAAATAAAATTAATGTTGACTTTTAAATGTGATTCAGGGACTTTGATTAAAGGTTACTCAACGCTCACAAAAGAGAAAAAGAGCAAAATTACCGGCGTGTCACGCGGCATCGGTAATTTTAACAGCTTGTGTTCATATGCGGTCACATGGAGCACCGACAGCGCCAGCTGCATACATTATTATTAAATGTACCACAACACCGTCACAATCATTTTCATCTATACTCTCTTTTATCTGCACCCTTCTCAGTAGCCCCACCAACCCCAAGATGATTTTATCATAATGACGTGGCACATTCTCGTAGCGAGACCACATTCCTTTAAGATGTGCTCCAACGCAGTGGAACATATGCTACGCGGTTTCCTTTTCTTTTTCTTTAGGCCCATTTCTGCAACTTTCTTACACTAACACACACTCTCTCTCTCTCTGTCATCCTTTTATTGAAACCCTCAATTCTGAACTTGCTTTGTTCCCTTTCATTTTATCTGTGACACGAAAGGATTTTATTGTTCTTGTTCTTTCTGTGACGCTTATTATGGCCGTGAGAGTAGCGTTGGTGTTGGCTATGTGTTTGCTTCCGGCGATGGTTGCTGCCATCCGCCCAGCCAAGAGCCCTTTCGTCGTGAAGGGTCGCATCTACTGTGACCCATGCCGTGCTGGTTTTGAGACCCCCGCCACCACCTACATTGCCGGTAACTGGTTACGCTTTTACTCATATCATTTATTTACATGTTTTCAAAAAAGTACTAGTGTTACTGTTGTATGACTCCAAATCTCAGATCTGTTTTCCATAATGAATCTCTAGTGTCAAAAGTTTGATCTTTTCATTCATGTGCACTCTTTTTTTTCTTATTTGAATTATACTCTCTTTCTCTTAAAATTTGAACTTTAGGGAAAACCATGGGGTCTCAGATCTGATCTGACTGTACTAAATTATATTAGATTGGTATAGTGCTGGACAGGATCTAATAATGAAATCACAGAATTTTATTTTCGCAAAAAGCCTCGTTAGTTTGTTCTTATTTATGATGTTAAATGTTTTGCATTTGATGAGTGTTGTTTCTAGGCTACACTTTTTTATTTTTTGGGGTTGCTACTTAGTATTTTGTAAATCTTTAAAGAAAAACATGTGCATTTGTTTGCAGTGACAATGACCATATTGTCACCTTTTAGTCAAAAATTTACCGGATTGTCATGCCAGGATAATTTTTTACCAAAATGTCACCTCACAATTCCGCTAATTTGACAAGCGAGAATGGACTAGACACGTGGCAGCGTCTGAACGGTTAACCATTCTAGCCGAGCAGCCCAGCGAGAATGAGAGAATGTTGACATGTGGTAAAAATACCGACATTCTTTGCAAAAGTACAGGATGCTTGTGTTTTTGCCACGTGTCAACATTATGTCATTCTCGTTGCAGGGCTGCTCAGCCAGAATGATTGACCATTCAGATGCTGCCACGTATCGAGTCCATTCTCAGTCCATTCTCGCTTGTGAGATCTCTCGCAAAAATTTGTTTCCTGGCGTGGCAATCCCTTAAATTAGGGATGTCAATTTGGTCAATGTCCCTTTGTTTGTAAGTTAGTAACACGTTTTATTTGATGTTTCTCCGCAGGTGCCGAGGTTATGGTGCTGTGCAGGGACAGGAATACCAACGATGTTGTGTACTCAAAGCGTGGTTGGACTGACTCGACAGGAGCATATACAATCTTTGTGGATGAGGATCACGCTGACCAGGTTTGCGATGCTAAGCTCATAAGTAGTCCTCATCATGATTGTAAAGAAGCAACCCCAGGCCGTGACCAAGCCCGTGTTGTTCTTACTGGCTACAATGGCATTGCCTCTGACGTTAGGTTTGCCAATGCTATGGGCTTCATGACACAGGACATTTCCTCTGGCTGTGCTGAGATCCTCAAGCAATACCAGGAGTTCGACAATGAGAATTAATTTCAGTATATAATCTACTTTGGATTTGGGTTTTCTGATATGTCTATTTAATTCAATCTTGTTGGAGTGTTATCTTAACAATTTCAGTTTATGCTTATATATGTTAATGAACCCTGCTGAATTATATTATTACATGATGATCTGTCTTGGACTACAGGATGTACTCTATTTTGTGTTGCTGTAGTAAACTATTCTTTTATATCTCTGCATTGATTGAATGGCTTTTGTTTTTCCGTCAAGAATGATTTGTAGTGTGTGGTGAAGATTGGTGGGGCACAATGTGAAATAAACCAATTATTTGAGAGCGACGAATGCGAGCTGTTGAATGAGTATTGAAAATTATTTTGGCTCTTCGGCCTTCGCTATTGTTCTGACCTATTGTGGCTGTCAAAGATTGTTATTTTCTTCCTTCCTTCTTATAACTAGGGGTGTAAAGGTTTCAGCATAATTAGGTGTAGGCTAATGGCCTGCATTTAAAAATTTCAGGGCCTATCCTAGAGTTGTTTTGTATCTTCAAACCTATCAAGAATTATAAAAAAAAAAACATAAAAAGTATGATATTTAGTTCGAGGCACCTCGTTCTGCTTAATCGCTTCTGATGGGTGAATAGTTAGTTTCAACAAACACTTGCTAAAAGTCTTTTGAATTTTGATACTTGTTTTTTTTTTTATACCAAAAGCGCGTAGAAAAAAGGTGGCTAAATAGAAACTTATGATATGACAAATGAGTAATGCTTCGGCTCATAATTATAATTATCAAAATAATAAAATTTAATTCTGAGAATAAGTGTTATAAGTATCATTTTATAGATTAGTTATAAATTGATTTAAGATTCAAAAATATAAAATCCTAAAAATAAGAAAATTTTCTAAAATAAATATAACAGTAATTAACTTAAATAAATAGTTATAATTAAATGATTCAAAACATATCCTAAATCTTAGATCTTAAATCACGACAAATGTGTTGTTTTTCTTTTCTTCCCAAACAAATCACAATCATATCTGTTGCTTTATTGGAACTTGTATTTGATCGTAATTTGTTATATTTCAAATCACTGATTCTTTCAATTATTGAGTTATACTTATTGGGCCGTAACTCTAGTTCACTCTAAGCTTCTTAAATCAATGGTTGGACAAGTTGTGTAAGTGACTAATTTTTCTTCATGCTCATGGATCCATTTCTGGAGCATGCGCTTCATGTCCTTGCATGTGGTGTTTTTCACTGCATAACCAGATTGAAGGTGTGCATGACAACATTCCCTGAATTTTTTTTTTTATTTTTGTTCCCGGAAACAGAAATAGATAGAAAACTCGACCGATTAATTTTTTTATTCTCGGGATGAACCTGTTCAATTTTTGTGCTGGGGAACAGAAAAAAGAATAAAAAAATCTCTGTTTTTTTGTTTCTGAGTTCAAAATGAGAAACACTTATTTCTCTCAATCATTGTCCACTACTATCATCATCATAACCACCATCATCATCCCGACATGACCACCGCCACCACCGTCGTTGTACTACCAATGTTGTCGTCACCACCACCACCACCACAACGACGATGCCACCGCCACCATTACCACCACCACGATGCCATAACCACCATCTTCACCCATCGCCACCACAATGCCACTGTCACCAACCACCACCACCATTATCGCAGCCACTACTATCATCACCACCACGCTGTCGCCACCACCACCACCGTCAGCAACCACCACTACCATTGCAGCAATCACTGTCACCACCACGCCACCACCACCATCGTAACAGCCACTGCCATCACCACCACCATTGCCACAGCCACTGTCACCATTACCACAACCACCATCGTCATAACCACTGACATCACTACCACCATTGTCGCAGCCACTATCATCACTATCATTGTCACCATTACCACCACCATTGTTGCAACCATTGTCATCACTATCACCTCCACCACCACTACCACTACCACTACCATCAACACGCCACCACCATCATTACCACCACCACCACCACACCATATGAAAAGGAAAGTGATGATCCAAAATTTTTTTTATGCTTAATAGGAATTATTTTTTATTATATTATTTGTTGTATTATCAAATGCAATTCTCATTCTTAGAATAAAAATATAACATATTATTGAACACATTTTTTTTCAGAAATAGTGCCAGGAAAAAGAATGGTTGTCACGCACACCCTGAATCTCTCCAAAAATAGATTGAAGTGATAGTTGGTGAGTGTCATTGATGGAAGCAGTTGTCGTGGAGGGTGAGATCAAGAATGAAAAGACCATTGTACCGGATGCTTAGTGGAACTCAGATTAACATAAGGAGATAGGTTGAAGGAACAATGACCAGACCGCCACGTTTTTGGCAACTTTTTACCATTATGCCAAGAGAACAATAGTTTTTACCAGATTGCCACGCATTGAAATTCGCTACGACTGGTAGCGAACTTAACCAATGATTTCGTGACACATGGCACACTTTCGCAGAAAAAGCTAATGGCTATGTGTCCAAGTTCGCTATGACTGGTAGCGAACTTGGTAGCCAATGACTTCGTGACACACGACAAGCTTTGCAGAAAAAGCTGACTGGACGAAGTTCACTACCAGGGGTAGCAAACTTGGTGCGCTATGTGGCACAATCAGTTGCCCGATTAGAATTAATGTACCAATCACAATAAAAAAAGAAAACAAAGGAAAATGGCTATTTAATTAATGCACAAATCACAATTAATGTACCTATTACCAATCACAATCAGTGTACCAATGAGATTAATTTTTTATTGTACTAATCACCAATCACTTCAAAAGTCCATAACTTTTGTTTCAAATATCCAAATCAGATAATTTTTTATTTTATTTCACATAAATTTTTGAGAACTATGCAATAAGTCAATAACACCTCATTTGACATATTTTATCTCTCACAAATATCGTTCGAATTTGTAACGAAGTTATCACAAATAATTGATTTACCAATCACCAATCACAATTAATGTACCAATCAAAATTATTAGAACACTTAATAAAAGACTACAAGAAAAAATAGTACAAAAAAATCAAATGTGTCAAAATAAAAAAGAAATAAATGTATAAAAAATTGAAAATATAATAAGAACAAAAAATAGAAGAAAAAATAAGTCTGACTATATTAAAAATCATAACGGTGATAGAAAAGACTAAAATAAAAAATAAAAAAAGTCCAAAAGGAAAAAATATACTGAAGACAAAAAATTAGATGACAAAATTAAGATAAAAAAATATAGAATAAAAAAAGCACTTTTGAGTTTCTAATATATTTATTTTAATTTTTTTTTGTCCTTGGTGTGTTTTATTCATTTTTATTTAGATATATTTGGTTTTTTTCTATTTTTTATTTTTTTTTTCACTTTTTCGTCTATTTTATTTTTATTTTCTCTTTATTTTTTTAGCCTCATTTCGCCCCATCTAGTGGAGATCTTCATAAAAAATAAAGAATAAAATAGAGATATAAAAAAGAACAAACATATCTAAATAAAAATAATAAATAAATCAAGGACACAAAAAGGTAGAAAAAAATAAAAGGAAATATATTAGAAATTCATCATTTTGATTTCTTTTTGTTATTCTTTTTTATCTCAACATTTTCTTCTATTTTTTTGTCTTCAATATTTTTTTAATTCTAGTCTTTTTTGTCACTTTTGTGATTTTTTATATATTTGATCTTATTTTTTCTTCTAATTTTTTATTCTTATTCTATTTATTTTTATTTTTATATAGATACATAACATATTTGATTTTTTTTGCTATTTTTTATTTTATTCTTTTATTAAGTGTTATAAATTTTTATAACATTTTTTCTTATTTTTCCTTTTCTTTATCACTTTATTTTCTTTTTCTTTTTCTTTTTCTTTGGTGAAAATATATATCCTACAATAAATAATGGGGTGTAAAGGAATGATATGGATAAAATAGATATACTAAGTTAATTTTCTAATAGTGTTAAAGAATGATATGGATAGAAAAGACTATAGGGATTTAAGTGATTAAAAAAAAAGCACATGTTTGTATATGATTCAACAATAACACGTGAGAGTTTTTGAACTTTTACCAGTCATCAATTACCAGAGAATATTTGAAATATATATCCTACAATAAATAAGCAACCGTGAATCTGGCCATGAATTGGGATTTGGGAATTACCTTATTGAAATAAAGGTTAAATTAAATGCGCTTCTCTGTTATTTGGGAGAAGAGTTTTGGTGCTTTTGTACCATCAAATAATTATGAGAGAGAAGAGAGTAATTTTTTTTTATACAAATGTTAATCTCTCAATAGAAGAAGTACACGAAGTCAGAACCATGGTAGTTAAAATCGAAATTTTACTTAAAATCAGAAGGACGATAAAAAATTGTAAAACATAAAAAAAATCGTAATTTTTTTTGGAATTTTGATGAAATTATTATGATTAAATTTTTTTATAAAATCATAAATTCGTAAATTTAAATCGGGATTTTAATTTGCATGATTTGGATCCCATTATATCTTTCGGCGTGTGGGACCGAAGATGGTTTAATAAACAAAAGATGCATGAGCCTAAGCCCTAACAAAGGGGCTAAGCCCATGTTTAGAATCAGCTGGTTTACAAAAAGCCCATTATGAAATGGACAGTTCTTGGAGAGGTGTTTTGGATACGTCCATTTGGAAACGGGAAAAAATCACGAGCTTAACTAAAATGGGCTAAGCTCATCTTTAGGATTAGCCCATGGTTTAATAGAAGCCCATTAAATAAAAAGCATGACAAAAGTTACATGAGCCTAACATAAGGGCTAAGCCAATTAAAAAGTAGCCTAACAAAAGATACATGTGTCTCACAAAAAGGGGCTATGCCCATATTTGGAATCAGCCCAAGGTTTAAAAGAAGCCCATTAAATAAGCACTAGACAGCTCTGGGAGGTGTGTGTTGGATACGTCCATTTGGAAACCGGAAAAAGTCATAAAAAGAAGAAGTGTCATGCATGGACCTTAATTTTAAAAGTTGCTAACTAACAACTTCAATTTTGCTGCAATAATCAATTAAGGACATCAATTTTAATAAAAAAAAAACATTTTGATCATATGTATGAATAAAATATGCTTTAGGTAGTGTATAAATTGTATTTTGTTTACATTATGAATTGCTTTCATATAGGAAGTTAGATAT